ACTCCGGCTGCGACTATCCCTGTGGATGGCACCACCCCTGAACCCACCACCGACGAACCCGACCTCGATGAAACCCCTGAACCAACCACCGACGGACCAACGGAAGTTCCTGTCACAACGATTGCCTCGTCCACTGATGCCGCCGCCAACAGTGTCGTCGAGTCTGGCAACCCGCTCATGGCCATGTCTCACCACGTGTCCAAAGCGTACTTGGACGCCGGTGTCGAATGCGCCGCGTTGAACCCGTCGTCCGTGTGCCAATCGAAGCGTCTCGCCGCCAAGTTGCAAAACGAAATGCAGCACATCAACTACGCCACGATCGACATGTCGGCAGTCTACGAACGCACCAGCACGTCGTCGTCGTCGTGGCCCTCTGTTGAGGTGGAATCCACCACGACCGCTGGCATCATCGCAGCGTGTGTTCTTGCTTTCGCCGTCCTGCGCACCCAGCGCCGCCGCTCCGGTTACGTCGGCATTCCTCAAGCCAGCGGCACCACCGAAGCTGCCCCGGCTGCCATCAACTGGCCGTGGTACACTTCCTCCAACTAAGGTCGTGCTATGCTCGCGCTACTACATGTGTAAGCTTGAAAATGGCCTTTTCCAGTTGCAGCAAGCATGCTTGGTTGACCCTACAGCACGGGAGCGCAATGGTGCGCGGACCCATCTTTCGTGGTAGCTCGCGATTGGAATTTGTGCCAAGGCGAGGGGCGTAGATGAAGAGCCTAGTACGTAGAGCTGAAGACCCACGGCGGGGCAACTGTGGACGTTGGGTGCCTTCTGGTGCGAAGGGACAGCTGCTGGGCAGCGCACGCACGCAACATTTTGGCGGGAAAGCGCGATCTTCTCCGACATGTCCACGGTGTGATCTAGTCCGCGCACAGGGATACCATCCATCCTGGGTGACTCGCCGCATCGCGGTGGTGCCGCCTGGTCCCGCCATCTTCACGTCACATCTCGACATGGTACGTTTCGAAATGGCGGCCTCCGATTGGTCCATTTTGTCCGTCAAGTCAACTTCCAACCACACACAGCTCACAATTGGCAGATCACGCATGACCACGGACGCGACGACCCCGCCATTCTCTCTCGACAAGCCGCGCTACGACCAGAGCACGTACTTTGGGCGGTGGAAGCACTTCAGCGAGCTCGTCTCGCCCAGGTAGTATCGCGGCCTCCTGCGTCTCAACCGGCAGTCTCCCGGGCCCTTTGTCTAGTTCGTTCTTGTTGTCCGACGATGAAATCACCAAGTCCAAAGACCTGATCGACAACGTCAAGAGCGGGAAGGTCGCCCCGGGACAAGTACCCGATGCGGATCTCTGGAAAGCCCGTCGAAGTATGCAACACCGACATGGTCCGTTGCCCTGACCGTGCACGTAGTTGTCGAAACGGTGTTTCATCCGCAAACGGGGGAGAAGCTCCCCGCGTTGTTCCGCATGCCTGCCTTTGTGCCTGTGAACATCCCGATTTGCTCGGGCATGATTTTGGCGCCCCCCACGGTACGCTGTCTCTACTCAAGGGATCGCGCAACTCACTCGATCGTTAGTTGTTCAACACGGTGTTTTGGCAATGGATCAACCAGAGCTACAACGCGGGGTTCAACTACGCCAACCGCAACGCAAGCGGCGTCGACGACACCACTGCCATCGCCAGTACGCATCAAACCAAGATATGCTTCCCTCATCAAGAGACTTTACAGAGGCTTATGCAAGCGCCGTCGCGATTTCGTGTGCCACCTCCGTGGGTCTCGGTAAGGCCGTGGAACATGCGTCCTTCCTCGCCCCGACTGTCCGCTCCGTTTTGTCCAAGGTACCCGGACGCATGTAAAACTCCCTCGGTCTGAATTTCCTATGACCATAGACTGTTCCGTTCGTTGCTGTGGCTGCCGCTGGTGCAGGGAATGCCGTGTTCATGCGCTTGAACGAACTCACGTCAGTACCTCATGGATGAGTGCGAAGGGGATCTAACGCGGTATTTGTGTTGATACAGCGATGGGATTGACATCCTGGATGATGAAGGAGTGCCACGCGGCCGATCCCAGGAAGCCGGGAAGCAATCGCTGACCCAAGTGGCATTGACTCGCGTGGCCCTGCCCATGCCGAGTAAGTCACCTCACCCCTTGTCGGTACCTCCACATATTCGGCCTCCTGATGCATTCGAGTAGTCTTGCTGTTCCCGCCGTTCATTCTTGAAGTCATGAAGACCGCCAAGGCGCTCCCAAAGAACCGCTTTGGTCGTGTGTTTACCGAAATTAGTACGTGACGTCGTCACTAGTGCCGTGGATGACGCATCGCCTGCAGGTGTCGTGACTTTGTGCATCTGGGGTGCATTCCCCGCGGCGATTGCGCTGTTCCCTCAGTACGGATCGATCCCGGCGACCCAAGTGGAGCCTCAATTCCGCGGCCTCAAGAACTCCAAGGGGCAGCCCATCACCGAGTTCACGTACAACAAAGGCATTTAAGCGAACAGTGTCGATGAGGAATGGCAATTCCGCTGGGAAAATAAATACACCTCACTTATCTTGTTGTTTGTAAGTGAGTCAAACTCTTCCAATTATATGTCGACGTTGTCCGCATAATTTCAGATGTTATCCGGATATATCCTCCCAATATCATGCAATTTTCGACGGTTTGGTCAATATTTCTTGGTGCCCCAACAACATGGTGTTGACAGGGAAGCAGCGCGAGGACCTGTGCGCATTGTGCTGCCACCATGACACTGTCGCTGATGCTGCGTGTGGTAGGCACCAAGCTATCTTGGAATACCTTTCGGGCTTGGGGTCAACTTTCGCGCAGTCTGCGTCGGCATTCCAGCAAGACGCGGGTCTCATGATGACAGGAGAGAGCGACACGACAAAAACGGGACTGTTGGAGAAGAAGTGGACCTCGGTTGTGCGGCTACAGCGCAAGGTGATGGAGCTCGAAAGCAAGATTCAGCAACTCGAAGAAGACGCAAAGCTTGGTGGCGTGGTTAGTCGACGCGACGTGATTGGCATTGGACATGACGCGTCATCGTTTCTTCCCCGCGCGCCACCCAAGCACTCGATGTCGGGCCATCGTAGTCCTATCACATGCGTCGTGTTCCACCCCGTCTTTAGCGTCGTCGTCACGTCCAGCGAGGACGCCACGATCAAGGTACTTTTTTCGATGGCATGCGTCTATCCAAATCGTTCGATTGCATCATGCGCTGCAGGTCTGGGATTTTGAAACCGGTGAATTCGAGCGTACGTTAAAAGGCCACACGAACGCCGTTCAAAGCGTCGCGTTCAACCTGACTGGAACCCTCCTTGGTACGGCGGCGCTTTTCTTGACACCTCGTGAACTCAAACGTTGTGTCGTTGCAGCGTCGTCGTCGGCGGATCTCATGATCAAGCTGTGGGATTTTTCCTCAGACGGAAACTACGAATGCAAGAAGACGCTGCGAGGGCACGACCACAACGTGTGTGGATTGGTATTTTTCCCTTCTGGAGACTTCATTGTGTCGTGTTCGAGGGACACAACCATCAAGGTACACACGTGACGGACGAGGAATATTTCCCATTGACCGTCATGAATGGTCGTAGATCTGGGAAGTCGAATCGGGATATTGCACGCAGACGCTGAAGGGCCATTCCGACTGGGTGCGGGACATCTGCATCTCTGACGATGGACAGTACTTGGCAAGCGGCGGAAACGATCGATCGATTACGTTGTGGGATGTGGCGCAGGGCAAAGCTGTCCAGTGCATGCGGGAGCACGAACATGTCGTGGAAACGCTGCAGTTTGCAACGAGGGGCATGCAAGAAAGCGCCATCGAGGCGATCCACGGAAAGAAAGTCGCCGAGACGACGGGGCAGACCGTGACGCGGTATTTATTGTCTGGGTCGCGAGATCGTACGGTGCGGCTGTGGGAAGCGTTTTCCGGGTTACTCCTCATGAACTTTGTACATGTCATGTCCACTGCCGCCACATGCTCATAGTGCGCATTTAGGTGAGCCACGACAATTGGGTGCGCGCCGTGCGATTTCACAGCAGCGGCAAGTACGCGATCAGCGCGTCGGAAGACAAGACGATCCGAGTGTTTGACGTTGAGGTGAGAAACGAGTCGTGCCTCGAGATGCACCTCATGGCAAGTGGCGTAGACGGGTCGGTGCGTGCGGACCCTCAAGGACGCGCACAATCATTTTTTGACGACACTCGACGTGCACCCGACGCTGCCGCTGATCGTGACGGGGAGCATTGATAAGTACGTGAATGTGTGGGAATGCGTTTGATGCGCGCCGCGTTCACATCCAGATCAGTCGAGGGGTGTCGTCAACAGGGTAATAGAAGTGGAATTTTTCCAAATTTGATGTATATTTTGAGACAATATATATATTCTGACGATACGTGATTGGTTGATTTTGGACCAATCAGACTGGATTTCGAACTGACACACACGCTTCTGGACACCTTCAAAACAGTGCTGGAACGCGAAGGATGACCGACGGCAAGTGCGCGGACGCGCCAGCGACGAGCGCCAGCAACAACGTTGCGCTCGTGGTTCAGAGCATCCAAGGACATTATTCGATCTGGACGCGAATCCTTAGTGCCGTATGGAACTTTATTCGTACGAAGGCTCTCACTGAGTGCGACGTATGACGACACCTCATCTGTCTGTAGTGGACATTGTGCTCGGCACGACTGCATTGCAGCGCATTTGCTCCCAAGAAACAAAAGACACCCGCGGGATGATGGTCAAAGTTCGAACGAACGTGGCGCTGGACAGTTCCCTCAAGGAAGCGCAACAGGACATCTTTGATTTTAAACCGTTCGACGTAACCACTCCGATCCTTGTCACGTAACAGGACACTGCATCTATCGAATTAGGTGAATGAAACCTTGCTCCGGGTCGGCGAAATCAAGAAATACGCCATCTCGAAAATGTACCATGCGTCGGCTGCTTTGACTGCCCTCAAACACGAATGTTGACAGATGCGAATCGAACCTCCGCACGTGCTTCATTCGATTTCGACAAGTGAATGAAGTGTACTCTCAAGCGTTGGCGCTGAAGGACGAAGCGTACGATTCGAAGAACGACGAGCATGAGGTCCGTTGGGTACTTCGATGTCTTGTCATGTCGATATCTATCATCCAGGCCTTGTTGGAACAACTCTGGTCCAATTTGAAGCCGGACGTCCGCCGCACGGGTGGCCGCTACACAAAGGAGTGGGGTGAAATCGGGTTCCAGGGACAGGATCCTATGACCGACTTCAGGTAAGCCTCCCGCATGCTCGCGTGATGCTCGAGGATGCGTTGTAGAAGCATGGGGTTACTCGCGTTGAAGCAGCTGGTGTACTACACGGAGCATTACCCTGTGGAAGCGCGACGGTACCATCGCATGGGCCTGCCATGGTGAGACACACACTTCTCTTGTTTCGTAGTGCGCTCGTGCATGCGAGCCACCCGACGCAGTGGTATCCCTTTGCTGTCACGGGCATCAATATCACGAGGTAATGCTGACACGTACCAAAGTCTTTCGATGCTTCCTTCCGTCTTTGCAGTTTTGTTGTGGATGTCATGCGCGAACGTCTGGTCGACTCGCGACTCTACGACAAGCAGTGCGATTTAACGCAGCTCCACGAGTTCTACTGTACGTGCCGCGACCTTCCTCGTGCCTTCATGCTGTCGATGCATGGACGAATAGGCATGGTCTTCTCCATGTTTGATGCTCTGTGGGTGGAATCCAACCCGACGGACCTCATGGCGTTCCCTGCCGTGTTCAAGATGCTGCAAGAAACCATCCGCCTTGAACTCACCGAGCGCTCGTTCCCGTGAACGACCGCCTTGGTGTGGTGGTCGCCAACGCTGCAATTCCGACAAAGAATGAGCCTTCGTCTGTTCGAAAGCGTTGAATTCATATCATGTCGACGACAAGGGGTAACAAATCGGTCCCTACACCACAACACAGCCTCGGTTGCATTTCAGATATCTTACGCTTCATCATCACTGCTGACCAAATCTATGCACATCGTTGGGGGTGGCAACGACTGGGACTTCACCAACTCTTCGTTGCTGTTCACGTTGGCAGAAAAAAAGGCCGATACGCTGTGTTGCTTGGTCGGAGGGGATGCCTTCTTGGCAACGCTCATTTTCTTTGCGGGTGTGATCAAACTGGACAGAGCTGTCGTCGAAGAATGGCTGGTTGATGTGGACTCATCACGTCGCTGGCGTTTAGATGTGGTCCCATTCACTTGCGGTGAGAAGAAATTCAAAATCGTGCGTTTCGCTCTGCCCACACGCTCTTTCGTCTTCATGTGGATCGGAGTCACAGGTTCCACTTGGGTGAACGCGTTGGCCGCCAATGTGATTAGCATTGCTTGCAGGGTCGTGATCAAATCAGGAGGGAAATTCACCCCGACAAGTTTTTGTTTCGCTGAGTTGGTCAACGTGATGCGGACGATGCGGAGGGCACGGTTGTGCACGTCGGCATGACTTGAGATCAATTGTTCCAGGAGTTTCCAAATCGGAAGCAACGATCCGCTGAGGAGGTGGTACTGCAATTTCCGAATCCCCACACGACAGGACTCGCCTTGTTTGCACCCGCTCGTGTGAATACAACGAGTCTCGCAGCGGTCAAAAATGCGTTTCCAGCCCCGTTCGGCTTTGTCTGGTGGGATCGACGTGTACTTGTCTCTAATGGCACACAGTAAGTACTTGTTCGCATCCTGTGAGGGTGGAAATCTTACCGGATGTCATCGATCTTGGTGGCCTCCAAAAACATGTATCCCGAGTTGGGACGGATGACAGAACACGAACGACTGCCCGTGATCATCAAAATGTACAAATACTCGCCAAAGTACTTCTGGTCGCTGATGTAATAACTCGCCTTGTACTCACTTGACACGTTCTCGTAGATGGACAATGCGTCTTCCCAGCTGATACCGCGATCGACCATGACGTGAGAGTACGTGACGTTGCTTCCAAGGTTCGTTTCACGCATGAGCTCAGCTTTGCGCCCTTTGATATCGTCGTATCCTTCGTCGTACTTGCCTTCTTGCTGGGCTTTTGCGATCACAGACTGGAGTGTCTTTTCGAAGTAGTGGAAAAGAGCATTTTGAAGGGCTGGTGCCAGGCCAAGGAGGCGATTCAAGAACAACTTGACCGAGACAGTCTGAACAGGGGGGAAGAGCCCAATGCTCTGGAGGTTTGCAATCAAAATCTCGTTCATGTGCTGGGAGGACAAGAGGGCAGGATGTGCCTTGATCAAAGCTGGAATATCCACACCCTCGACAAATAATCCATTGCAGACACAGCGAAGGAGCTCTCGGACAGCCTGAAACCCGTACTTTGTCTCAAAATGATAACCAGATAAATCTTGACCACTGCCGGCTCTGCGATCACCTTTCGTCAACGCTCCCATCGTCATCATTTTCTTGGCGACGGCAGCGACAAATCTGGTTCCACACACGTCATCACCAAGTATCGTCTCGTTTTATCGTACCTCGTTTCGCCACCACAATCAGTGGTCACGAGCTTGTAAATTGGAGCGCAGCTTTGATTCGACCGATGGGTTCTTCCCAACTGCTGAATTGCTTTATCCTGGGTCATTCAAATTGAACGAATCGTACAGTCAAGACGCAGAATGGTAAACTTGTAATGTTCTCACCGCACTCCACGGCAACTCTAGCGTGATGTGGACGCGACGCCGTTGGTTTTGGCAGCGTCTATCTGCATGCAGGGAAATCCCCGTACTGGCTGCGTCTGAGATAATCGCGACCAACTTCTGTCCACGCATGAACGCTTGCCGTTCGTCTTGATTCGCTTGATCCAAATTCAATCCACGTGACTTGACGACATACTGTCCATTCGAGAAAACGAGTCGCTGCCGACGTCCAGTCAGTTCCGCAACGTGACTTTCACCTCCCAGCGCATCCAACAGGTGATCTAAGGGGTTTGGGGGCAATTTTAACGCTGGAATTTTGGCCAGCAGTGCGTTCTTGAGATCCACACACACCACACTGTCTTGCACACCTTCAGGTTGCACCAAATCGGGGCCGATATCTGCTTGGTACACCCGATCGGTTGCCAGCAAAAATGAATTTGTGATGTCCGTTGAGTTCGAAGCCGTGGATGCGAACTTTGATGGTTGTACCAATTTGATCTTGGTGGGGAAATGCAGCGTCACCAAATCGATTAAGATGCGCTCGCAGAGAGAAACAAGTGTGTCGCTTTTTGAGTCGGCAAGGTTCGAGCGCTCCATGCTAGCTTCGCCCGTTGTTTGAAGGCCAATGACTGCACAATGCCCCGAGGCCAAACAGTCTCGAACTGTGGACACAATGAATGGAACCTGGCATATACATCACAAATCAGATGGGATTCGTAGAAGTGGCGACTACCTTCATGCACATACACAATTGGCGATAAAAACGCTGATGAAAACCCCACATCACTCGAAGCACATCGCCTTGCACTCGAGTGATTTTCGCTGCCCGTTCCATACAAGGAATCAAGATATTCCAAAACGCCACGGCATTGTCATACACTCGGCGCTGCGAATCCGTCAATGCCACGGTGTCCAGTTCAAACTCGGCACCAGTGTAGCTTAGACCACGCGACAAGTACTTGCCTACCCAAACGTGTTTTAACGATAAACTTTGAAACGCGTGAAGTGTGATACCTTGAAGTTTCATTTCAATCGCGAGCATTTCCATTGCCCCCATGCCTCGGTTCTTGATGGTGCGCAGGAACTCACTGAAGCCGTGGAATGCCGTTGACGGTCCCCACAGCCCTGTTTCCATGTTATCACCAATTCTCGATTCAACCAAGCACACTCACCTAAACGTGACATGTAGGCCATGTGCTCGATACCGCCAACGCCCGTAGCACTGCAGTAGACTACACGGGCGTTGGGCAGAAGAGTCTGAATTTTCTGGACTGCCTGTGCAATTTTTGACGCCGTGGCATTCTTGTCACTCAATTCTCCATGCTTGGCTTTGTGACACTCATCAAAGAGAATGCAACCGTCGAATGCTTCGCCACCGCACCATGCCACAATTTGAAGCAGACGGGATTTGGTTGGATGGTTGTAGTTGGACGTTAACGTCGAGTAGGTGCTGTACAACACGCCAGTCTTGGACGAGATGCCGAATCCTTTGGTTCTTTCTTTCTCCACTAACATTGGAGCCATTGGTTAAAGTGGTTCTAAGCGCCGTGCGCGCCTACATTGCTGGCAGCCGTCGATGACATCGACGTGGCACCCAATGTCATTTAGATCTCGCTCAGCATCAACTCTCAGGTCATTTGACACACTGAACCTGTGCAACGTTGGTCGTTGCTACAAAATATTTCATCATGGGGTTTGTGTACCACAGGTGCTTCGTCCGCCCTCGACACAAATTCTCCAACACAATTCCGGCTAATTGCCTTCCCTTCCCAACACCAGTCCCATCCTACAGGTTGCTAGCAAAGAAATAGTCCACAACTAGATCGATCAAGCACCCCAAGGAAGAATCCACTGCGGGACCCGTTCGGCAGGATACGCTGGTGTTGCATGCAAGCATACAAAACACCTTCTAGTTGCAAGCTAAAACAATTTGGTCCGTGAACACATTGACATGAATGAAAGTGATTCGTACTTTGTCAGCTTGCCTTGCTCAATCAATTCAGTCGGAAAAGCATCCACTGGATATGTGCATGGAGGCAATTGCGCGGTCGATAGCAGAGCTACGTTTGTCATCAAATCATCATACTCTAGACTATGCTGGGGTTGCACCTGCTTCCGAGATTGTACCGGGATGAGGATGACCGATAACAATCGACTTCACACAGGGCAAGATGAATTTGGTCACAGTGTGGAGGATTCCTCGATCCCACGAGGATTATACCTGGCACACATACGGAGAGAACACTAAATCTTCCGCGTGAGTCATGTCGCTTTCCTCTTCGACAGAGGCTCTGGCGTCATCCTTGCTCGCGCTTCCAAGCAGCGCTCTCACGGACTCCTCCATTTCCCGCGCACCTTTTTGAATGCTGAACATCTGCACATTGGCCAATTATCCGGATAACCCAAGAAATATACGGCAAATTTTCCCCAGAGAAACATCGGATCGTTCTGTCGACGATGGTGTGCGATAAGTGTGAGGCGAAGCTGTCCAAGGTGATCGTTCCCGACCGGTGGAAGGACGGCGCGCGCAACACCGCGGGAGGAAAGGATGGTGGACGAAAGATTGCAGGGAACGCTTTGCTGGGAAAGAAGCATCGATTCACACCGATGAGTCGAAGCTGTCGGATATGCAAGACCAAAGTCGCACAAGACGCCCATTATTGCCAAAACTGCTCGTATCAAAAAGGTACGCCATCACACATGCGACGATGCCGATAGCTCATGCTTCGCCACCGCAGGGATATGTGCGATGTGTGGACGAAAGATCATGGAGACGAAGAACCACAACATGTCGACTGTGTAGCTCTCGACCGCATGAACCTTCCGCTGCCTTGCACACGACGCCAACTTGATTCAAAGCCCCATAGATATCCCGAATGAATACGTCCATTCTGTACCCATCTATCGCGCTTTGCGCCATCGTGAATGCATTCCATCCACATTACTTGCTATTTATAGTCGTGGGGCGTGTACATCGTCACAGGACCTCTCGTGAAATGAGCTCTCCCCGACGGTCAACCCTCACAAAGCCCAAACCTCAACCCGCTCTTCCGGAGGTCGTACAGGCGAAGCCAGAGCGGTTCGTCTTGAGCTCTGGGCACGATGCGCATGACTTGCTCAACGCCGCGGAGGCCGAGCTAAAAGAATGCAGTGTACGGGACAGTCTCCTTGCTCGTCGTGTGCTTGAGGACGGGAACTTGTAGGGCACGTTGTTTGATCACTTCGAACAGAGGCACGAACCAACGCCTCTGGACAGCGAAAGCGCCCCCGACATTCTCAACACCGAGAGCGACGACGACAACGATTGCGCGGCCGAGCACCGCGATCACGTCCGTTCATTTCCATGACACACTTTGACGCGTCATTGTGTCGATGGCGAATATAGTCGTATCAAACGAATCTCCATGTGAATGCTGTCCCGCGACAAGGCGACCGGACACGGCGGATGATCATGTCGCCGCCGCGAAAGAAGCTGTCCAAGCAAAACGCCATCGGGCCGCAGACGTACGACGAGTTGGAAGCACTGATGAAGTCTCTCGTACGTGTCTGCTTCTCCCCGCGTGATGCCGACAAATATCCATTCCGTCGTCATGACCTGTAGGACCAAACACTCACCGAGAAGGACAAGATTCTCCATCACCAGCATGTTTGACCTCTTGCATGGGCATCGCCCGTGGTCACCGCCACGATATGCCTAGACGATTTACCAAGTCGCAATCAACCATCTCTGCGAAGAAAACATCGTCAAGCAGCAAGAGGCGATTCGATTCACGACCATGCAGCACGAAGTCGAGCACATCCAGCATCACATCCAGAAAAACACAATCATGCGCGTGGACTTTGGTACGCACACAGCGCCATGGTGGACTCACCGTCGTGTCTAGATGAAGAAACCATGCCACGGTCTGCCGTGTACCGCCATGCCGTGCACATGACGGCCGTCGCTGACCTTGGCGTCCGCATCTACAACGTCGGCGATCACCCGCGCGAAGCAACAGATCGCATTGTCGTGGCGCGGCGGCTCAGTGCGACGCCGTCGACGCCGCACAACAAGGCCAAGAACAACACGGGGCGGCGGTACGTGAACGAAGCGCAGCCGCGCCTGATGAAGAACCAAAAGTATATCGAACGGGACAAGGAGTTCCTCTAACACCGGGACAAACAATACGGGTGGTATTCAATATCGCTGGTGGCGCGCGGCGTCGTGGGACGGCGGATGCTGTTGGGGGTGGTGGTATGGCTGGTGGTAGGGCTGGTGAGGTTGGTGGTGGTGGTGATGCGGCGAGTACTGGTGCGGCGCATCGCCAATGTCTCTCGACAACGACTGAATACGACGAATGGGTGCGATCGGAGTCTGGTCGTCCATGTAGTCGCCGCGGGTAGGGACGGTGTCCCCACGTAGCATGTGGCGTTGCGAGGGCAACTGGTGTTGTTGGAAGGGTTGCTGGGCGGACCGACTTGGCTGCTGCTGCTGGTAGTAATGGCTAAACGACGGCGCTTGGAGTGGCTGCGGGAGATGCTGCAAGTGGTGGTTGTACTGGTGGGCGGGGGATGCATTTTGGTCGCAGAATTGCTGTGGAGGGGCATCTAGGCGCGTTTGTCTTGAGTTGGTTGGCCAGTTCATTCAAGGGATAGTTGTACCACGGGAATCGCTGCGTTGGATTCCAAAGCCGCCCATGTTTGCAACTTGGCCAGCCAGCATGGGTGGCATCTCCGTGTGAGACTGATGCGGTTGAAAGGACGACCCCACGACGCGACCGCTCATGGGACCTGTGACACCCACGGGGGTGCAGACGCCCCCACCGGAGACCTCTCCTTGTCCTCCAGGGTACCCCGTGGCGGCAGCGGCCACTTGATGCGGCGATGGAGTCTGCTCCATGCCGGATGATGCCCATGGTCCATTGGGATCTCGCCTCCCCGATTGCTACACGCGGTCGGGTCAATCCTTGTCGTCGAGATCGATCCAAGTACCAAGTTGATCACACTCCAGTCAAACATTGCGTCATATTGGTACCCTTTGCGGAAGAACAATTCCTTGAAGAGGCGTTTGAGGTAGGCGTAGTCGGGCTTGTCGTCAAAGCGCAGCGCGCGACAGTACTCAAAGTACGCCCGCAGTTCGGCGGGGTACCCGCGGCACAAGACATCCGACGGCGTGTTCATCTTTTTCTCCATGATCTTTTCATACTTTTGCTTCTTCGTCGTCGCTTTCAGACCTTGCCACGGCAGACTGCCTCGTAAAAAGTACATGTAGACATACCTACGACGATCGTCACCATCGCAGTCGTGTGGAGGATGACGGTACCCGAGTGACTCCAAATCATCGCGGCGACTCTGCTCGATGCCGACGTGCGTATTGATGGACGCATACCGCGCCGTGCCCGTCAAGTTTTTGTTTTCACGGTAAGGAATGTGTTGGTGCGTCTTTGGGTCGCGGTACCGTTTGGCCAAGCCAAAATCGATGATGTGGCAAAACTGAGCCCGTTTGCCGAGCCCGATGAGAAAGTTGTCGGGTTTCACGTCGCGATGGATAAAGTTCTTCGAGTGGCAGTACTCTATCCGACTCAGGAGTTGATCCGCGATCATGAGCACGGTCTTGAGAGTGAACCGGCGACCGCAATAGTTGAACAGGTCTTCCAACGACGGCCCGAGCAAGTCGATTACCATCACGTTGTACTCGCCTTCGACGCCAAACCAGCGTAGGTTCGGAACCCCCACTGCGTCCACGCGTAAGCGATGATGTAAACCCAATGGGATGTACCTCCGCCGAGCAAGATTTTGTAGATCTTGGACTCGTACAAGAGTTGGGGATGTTTGGACTTGACAGACTCGAGCTTGATGGCGACTTCTTCACCCGACGTCATGTTCGTTCCGAGGTAGATGTCCCCAAACGAGCCGCTTCCAATCTTTCGCCCCAGGCGAAACTTCTTGCCCACGCGCAACTCAAGGGAACTGTCGTGTTGTTGCGTGGCCATTCTACGACACTGCATGAGCGTCATGTGAGATCTCCAAGGCATATGTCGGCATCCAATTCCACATTCTTCCTGGGTCGCTGTCTCATGCATCGATGCGTAAGCATGCCGTAGTTACCTTGGATGTGGGGGCCGAGCAGCGTCCACGAGGACAACAAACCGATATGATTGATCATCTGGAAATATATGCTCCATTGGGAAAAATCCTTGCGATGTTTCAACAAAAAAATATTCTTCGACATCCGATGTCTCCATTGGGCTGCAGTGGGCATGACAGGATGAAGAACCAATGTGTATTGTTTCTTCATCCCCGCTGCACACGTCAGCGGTGGACAGCATGGACGATTCTTCGCATTCGAATAGCCTCGAATCGCCCCAACCTCACGACGCCGTCAACTTACAATCGTTGTCAACGTTGCGGCTCACAACAGACAAATATTCAGTGTGACAGGTCGTCCTTCACAACCCACGACGCCTCTTTGCGCATGGAGAACGATGGACAAATGGCCGCGCGCAGGCACACAGGAAGCGAGGCTTATGCCGCCATCCGCCCGCGGTGAGAATGGCGCCGTTGGTTTGGGAGAGAATATTCACACACTGCCATGACCATTCAGACTGGAGGGAGGATATTTCGAATAGCATGTATGTGCATGTGGTGTCCCCTTGGACTCGACCTTGCGCGCACAGCATGGCAGCGTCGATGGAGAGCCGATGCATTCAATCCATGGCATGCTTGGACTTTGTCCAAGTAGCCCTCATGCGCAAGGACCGAGTAGGGCCACAGAGACCGAAAGTCGCGGGCCGCGACTGTCTCGTCGACGCTGTCGTGGTCAGGAACCGATGGTTCTCGATCTCGTGACACGCTGGCCACTCATTTCGTTTGGCGTGGCAATTTAGCGATCGGGTTCGATGAGCTCAAGCAATGCGGTTGAATCGACCAGAGCTCGTCATGGCCGAAAATCGTCCAGGAGTAGCTGGAAGGATCAAGCGGATCCATACGCCAGAATCGCCCGCCCACGCACTCACAACAAGCGCAGCGCCGCCAGGATGCCTTGCTCACCGCAGTAAACTGTACGTTCGCGGAAGAGCGCATCCGGCCACGATCGAGAAGTGACCACCCCATAGTCCAACAGGGCGCGGCCTTTCGGCTACGAGCACGGCGCATTGTTGTCGCGAATTGAGAATTGTTTCGAACATGTTTCAAACATGCAACCCATCTCACCCGACCTTGACCCTTGATAACTTGATGTCGAACCAAGCACTGTAACTGTTCAGCTTATGTGGCTACTGGACTAGCTGGCACATGGCATTCCGCTCAAGCGGATCTACGCATCTCAAGGAGTGACACAATCATGTGCGTCATTTCTACTGCGACGACCACAACCAAAAGGACAATGGAGGGGTGGACTTGAGTGACGTTCGAAACGCGTCTGACACGACGCGGCCTCTCCTCCCATACAAATTCGTCGTATATTTTGACCTGAAAAGTTTTAAATTCGGGATTGTGGCCAATCGGATTGTCGATTGTAAACGGCTGCCTGCGATAGAATACCACTGAATGTCGAAGGCGCGCGGCTTGGTTGATGCGGCTTCTCGCTAACATTCTTCGTCTTGCGGCATGAACTACAGCCATATGCAGCTCGTGACCACGTCGACTACAGACGCTGGTGTCCTGCACCGGGTGAAGACAGCACTCACCCCAATGACTCTTGACGCCAAGCTCGACCAACTCACCTCAGTCGCAGACCGCATCGCTCTTGAAGTTGCAGGATACAAGCAGCGCGTGGCCGACATCGAATGGGATGCTAAGAACTACACCAACCTCAATTTGTCGAATTTGTTGCGGAAAAAGCAGTCTTGTCGATTCAGCTTGGCGCGCGTCAAGCTCCACGTGGAAACCGCGCTCCACAAACGTGCAATTGAAGTCCTCAAGTCGACCGACGAGACGTCGGCGCGATGGAAAGACCGACTTCGCCGCGATCTCATATACCGCACGCTATTCTCCCAGGCAAAATGGCTTCGAGCCGTGCTATCTCACGTCAAGGCGATCCCAACCTCTCAAATGCGACGTGAATCCGCCGACGAAGTATTGCAGGCCGCCGTCGCCCCAGACCAGAAACTTCGACGCCTCTCACTTGACGAGTGCAACCAACAAGCTCTGCACTTTTCATCGCTCACCCATCTCCTCTCATCTACTCCACCAACTGCCACACCCACAGACGAGCCTTGTAAATCGTATTTGGCATTTGAGCTCTTCTTGACCGCATCCCTCTTTCACAAGACAGACCTCGGCATGGCGTTTGAGTCTCACTGCTGCAGCTCGCTCGCCTCTCTTTCCTCCACGACTTCCTTTCATACCCTCGTTGGACAGGTATCCCGCGCCCTGGCCGATGAACACGACGTGCCTCTATCCCAAGAACAGACATTGCGTCGGCTTGTGCGGCAAATGGTGTACGCTCGTCTCGGTGCTGCTTTCATCACACCTATGGCCGCTTCATTGGAGCTAGACCAAGTGGCGTGGAAGTCGACGGTCACGGCTCGTGCGCGATCGCGGGCGTTGAAGCACCTTCCCGAAGTGGGGCTGCCTGCGTCGCCTGGTTGGTTCACTCGCTCCATCACTGCACTGGAAGCGATGCCGACCTTTATGCCGGATCGCATCGTCGACGGCTTCATGAAGGTGATGACTACACTGCATGAAGACGTGGCAGGGACTCTCGGCCAACCTGCCGCATCGATGTCGGCTGACGTGATTCTTCCCGTTTTGGTCGCCCTCGTCCTGCACTGCGACCTTCCCTGCCTCCATCTCCAAACGTACGCCATGGAGACGTTGGCGTTAAGTAACGGATGCGACGGCGGCGAAGCTGCGTACTACGTGGCGCTGCTCCAGGCCGCCATGGCCCATTCCAAGTAGTTGGTTTCTATTTAATCTGTCCACGCCATCCTCCCATCATTCCAAGGCGGTCCAGCGCATTGTCTGCCAAAAGCTTGGGCATTCCTGCCGTACGTGACTGACGACTCTTGACGGCGTATTGTCGATGTCACGGCAGTCGCAACGTCGGCGCCAACTCGCATACCGAACCTACCATACTCGTAGACACGGGTCCACACACAGCTTCTCCAAGAAAATCGATGGAGTGCATGCAGTTGAACCAAGTGCAATTTCCCCTGGAGGGACAAGCTTGCCGTGGGCAACGGCGCTCGTTTGCGGGCACGTGGCATCATCTTGTGTTGCGCACCCATTCGTTTTCGCACGATATCCAAGTTACCACAAACAGCAGAGCAGGCACGGTTTAGATAGAAAGACAAAGCAACTACGGGTCTTAATGGTGGAACAAGCGCACGCCCGAAAACGTCATCGTGATGCCGTACTCGAGGCACGCTTGCTTGATATCGTCGTCACGGTTGCTTCCACCTGGTTGCGTGATAAACGACACACCCAACTTGGCGGCGTGGTCGATGCCATCTCGGAACGGAAAGAACGCGTCCGACGCGAGCGAGACGCCCGTCAACTCGGCCACGAACGCGGCCTTCTCGGCATCTGTCAACGGCTCTGGTACAACATCGAATTGGGCGTCGAACGCGGCTTTCTCGACAGGGGCCATGTCCCCTTCGATGTAACGGACGCGGGCATTCACGCGCTCCTGGCGCTTCACGCTCGACTTGAACGCAAGCGACGCGACCTTGGGGTGTTGGCGAAGGTGCCACACGGCGACCTTGCGGCCGGCGAGCTTGACGCAGTCGACTCGGCTTTGTTGGCCAGCGCCGACGCCAATCATTTGACCGTCTTTGGCGTACCCGACCGAGTTGCTCTGCGTGTACTTGAGCGTGATGGCAGCCAAGATCAAGTCGCGTTGGGCAGCGTCCGTCAACGGCGCAACGAGCGTCTGAACATCCGACACGTGCGAGTGGTTGAACAAGACATCGTTGCGGCGCTGGGCAAACGTCATGCCGTACACTTCGCGGTATTCCATCGTGGGAGGGACAAAGGTCGGGTCAGCCTCCAACACGATGAACTTGCCGCCCTTCTTTTCCGACAAGATGGCCAACGCGCCCGGCTCGTAGCCAGGGGCGATGATACCGTCCGACACTTCGCGCTTCAGCACTTTGGCTGTTGCTTCGTCTACAACGTCGCTGACAGCGACAAAGTCACCAAACGAGCTCAACGGGTCGGCGTTGCGGGCACGTAGGTACGCCACGGACAACGGCGTGAGCTCGATGTTGCCGACTTCATAAGCAGCCTTCAACTTATCGTCCAACGGGACGTACACAGCGGCACCGGCGGGGCTCACGTGCTTGAACGAGGCGGCGGCAGGCAAGTTGAGCGCCTGGCGCACTTCGGCCACTAATTGGTACGCGTTGGCAGCATCCAACAGGTTAATGTAACCGGGGGTGCAGTTCAAGACTTTGAAGGGCAGCTTGGCGCCGTTGATCGTGCTGATCGACGCAGGGTTTTGGTGTGGGTTGCATCCGTACTTGAGCGTCAACGCAGGCGTATATGTTTGGGTTACGTCGTTGGATTCTTGTCCCAATTGCGCGTTGAACCACTTGGAGATCTGCGTGTCGTAGTGCGCCGACAATGTGAATGCGGCGGCAGCGCACTTCTTGCGGAAGGCGAGAGTCGTGCCGGCGGCATGGGCCTTCATTTCCTCAATCAAGGTCGAGTACTGCGAAGGGTTCGTGCAAATGACGACGCTCGCGTGGTTCTTGGCCGACGAACGAAGCATCGAAGGTCCACCGATGTCGATGTTTTCAATGCACGTTTCAAAGTTGCCACCAGATTTGACCGTTGCTTCGAAGGCGTACAAATTGAGCACCATCAAGTCGATGTTCTTGATGCCGTGGGCTGCCATGTCCGCTTCGTGCTGCTTGTTGCCGCGCACACCCAGGAGACCACCGTGAATCTTGGGGTGCAACGTCTTGACGCGGCCGTCCATCATTTCAGGGGACTCGGTGTACTCCGACACGTCGATGACAGTCAACCCGGCATCACGCATGGCTTTCGCCGTGCCGCCGGTGGAGAGGAGTTCAATGCCTTGGCCGGCCAGAAAGGCGGCCAATTCAACCAGGCCAGTTTTGTCCGACACGGACAACAGCGCGCGGCGAATGGGCACGACGTCCTTGACTTGGCTTGCGACCGCGGTGATGATGTGGGCCATCCTCGGATTGTTTGGAAATGACGACGTGATGATGGACACTTCCATCGATCACTTGTCAGATTTTATATAATGTTCATGTAGTATTTAACATTTTCTAAGCCAATATGTATTTTATTGTTATATGCAATTAGTATTGTGAATTATTCGAGTTGTACCAATACAAAAATGAAATTTATATTCCCATTTAATGTCCAAAAAGGTTTATAGAATAGTATCTTTTCGTGATAACTCATAGATCGACCCGGTTTGCGTTAAAAGGTCTGCAAGTTTACCGGATAAGTGGGTGGAGACGGCACAGGCCGTTCTATATATTCGAATTTGTATGACAAATTAATGTGACCACGAGTGGTTTATCCGGACGCAGGGTCCACATCCTCAAGGCGGGGCTCAGCGCTTCCACCACTCATTTCCTTTAAAGTGCGTCTCGGCTATGTGCACAGCATCAAAACAGCCCCCCACCAGCATACAAAAGGCAGTGCATTATTTCAATTCAGTGACGAATCAAATGGCAGCAAGACGTGTATTTTTACCAATCAGCGAGCCTCATTCGGTCGCACTACGATGCAAACGGGTCGCCATAATCGTTGAAAGGAGTGCATTGCTTTCGTGTTGGAGGGGCTAAATGAACTAATATCTCTGGCGCTGGCTCATCTTGGACTCGCCCATGTCCACGCCCGCTGGTGCCATTCGAGGCGCCACGTATAGTCTGTCGTCGCGGACGCCGGGGTTCCCGTACCCAGACGGGGCGCTGCTGGGTTGCATGCGCAGGTCTTGCATTCGTTGCATTTCTTGGTACTCGCCTTCCTTTGAGTCTTCACGACTGTAGAGCCGACCAGACGACGCGACCGCGGCGCGGGGGTCTTGAAGGCGAGGGTCCACACGCACGCGGGGGTCGATGCCAGCCGCCGCACCACCCATGAACCCGTTGCCGCCAACTGGTTGGCCTCGGCTATCATAGCCGCTGGGACCTTGGTCAGGGGCGCCCATTTGGGCTGCAACAGGAGTCAATGCCGCAGGGGCTGCTTGGGCGGCAGGGGCGCCACTGGTGCTACCACTTCCGTCCCTTCGTCCGTTTTGCTACAATGCAGACACAATCAGGAACGCTGTTCGAAAAGGGAGGAATGCCAAAGCGTACCAAGTTCAACACCGTCCAGTCAAACATCGCGTCAAACTGGAAGCCCTTGCGAAAGAACAATTCCTTGAAGAGGCGCTTGAGGTAAGCGTAGTCGGGCTTGTCGTCGAAACGCAACGCGCGCGTGTACTCAAAGTAGGCACGGAATTCGGCGGGATACCCCTTGCACAGCACTTCGATCGGGGTGTTCATCTTCTTCTCCATGATTCGCTCGTACTTTTGCTTCTTCGTGTTCGCCTTGAGCCCTTGCCACGGCAAGCTACCGCGGATAAAGTACATGAACACGTAACCGAGCGATTCCAAATCATCGCGACGACTCTGCTCAATGCCAATGTGGGTATTGATCGACACGTAACGCGCAGTCCCCGTCAAGTTTTTGTTCTCTCGGTATGGAATGTGCTGGTGAGTCTTTGGGTCACGGTACTTCTTGGCAAGCCCAAAGTCAATCACGTGGCATATCTGCGCGCGTTTGCCAAGCCCGATAAGAAAGTTATCGGGCTTCACGTCGCGATGGATAAAATTCTTCGAGTGGCAGTACTCCAAGCGACTGATGAGTTGGTCGGCAATCATAAGCACCGTCTTAAGTTGGAAGCGGCGACCGCAATAGTCAAATAGGTTTTCCAACGACGGACCGAGGAGGTCGATCACCATGACATTGTACTCGCCTTCAACGCCAAACCAGCGGATGTTGGGAATGCCCACTATGTCATCATGATGAGCACAGGGACCCACAAGCAAGCGGAAACAAGGGGAATCACATACATCCGCCATTGAGAATCTTGTAGATCTTGGATTCATACAAGAGCTGGGGATGCTTGCTCTTCACCGACTCCAACTTGATGGCGACTTCTTCTCCCGAAGTCATGTTCGTCCCGAGGTAAATATCCCCGAACGACCCGCTGCCGATTTTGCGGCCGAGGCGGAATTTCTTGCCGACACGCAGTTCCAAGGAGCTTTCTCGTTGCGTGGACATGAAAATGATTCAACCTACGCGATCGGCAATTCAACCACGGAACCGTGACGACGGCAATCTCCCCTCGCACCCACGACAAAAGCAGCGTGGATGAAGCGATCGAGAGCGTGAGGTATTGTACCTGAGGGGCGTAGAATGAAGAGGGTGACGAAGGGGAGTCCTTGCGTGAGAGATAAGGTCAGTTGGTCGGCGGGAAGGTGGCGCTTGTTCCACAGAGCCACAAGGACGGCAGAATGAGCTTGTCAGTCGCCCTGGGGAAAGAGAAATTCGGAGCGATACTCACGTTGGGATTGAAAGGCAAGGCGACATTTGATTGGCTAAAATACATTCTTTTTGGACCACAGGAGGCCGACGAATGTCGGGCGTCCAGGTATTTCCATCTTTATTTTATTATTTGTGTCCTTGTAACAAGTAGGGCGAAATGCAATAAAACCACAGAAACAATTCAGAACTCTTGAGTCAAATCGCGGTATACTGAAATCAAGTCGAATCCTTCGAAACCGTGTAGGGCTCGGGCAAAGCTTGCACTATTTCCAGCGCCCCAACGGCGCGAGTGGCAAACCATCCATCCCTCTGCGGGGCGTCGCACGGGCACCGTCGCGAAGAGCATGTCTGCGAGGTTGTGACGACGTCCACGAAGACTTAGATAGGGTCATCGTGGACGTGTGTAATTCGCACACGAGGTAGTTTTTTCATGAAAAAAATCCGAAAAGTCCAACCCAATTGCCTTGTCGCTGTGCCCATGGACCGGAAAATCACAGCATCCTCGTTTTCTCCGGGTGCTGACACGCGCATCCCTCGCTGTGCTGTGGCGCCATCTTCTTGGCACTGCAGTCTTGCAGCACTACGTAGTGGTGGTGCGAGCGAAGGTCGACTGGCATCTCTCGCAACTTATTTAACATATGCGTTTTATATCCCCGACAATTTGACACCCAAAAAACGAGCCACGTTTTTCCAGGAATTTTCAATGTTACCGCAAAAAAACGGTTTAAACAGTTTTAAACGTAGACTAGCTGTGTTTTTCGTGAAGGAGATGTGGGGTCGCCAAGGGGGGCCTCATCGCTGCTTGGAGCTCCTACTTCGCCAGTACTTGGAAGAATCGGACGGACGGAGCCTTCTCCTACGTGGCACTGACGCTGTGGGCACGTTTCGCTGTGCGTTGATTCGTAACTCGCAAGATGATGATCCTGGAATTGCCCATGAGCTCTACCGTGGCCTACCTACAACTTCGTACGTTGCATATCTTGCTCAAGTCCTTCTTGCGTGGAAGGAAATGGCGCGGAATCCGCTGTTTCAGCTTCCACATGTGCCAATGGGAGGCGTAACTGAAGACAGATCGTCCCTGCATCGAGTGCTCGAAGTGCCCGTTGCCTTGGTCCAGTCAATGGATAGCGTCATGGCCTTGGATTCTTTGATCACAGCCATTGGGGGGGCTCGAGGGATCCTAACTCTCTTGGGCGTGCGATGTACCATTGGGAGTACTCTCGTGTGCCCTCCCACACGTGCACAATGCCTCGAAGCATTTCGCCGGCCGCAGTCAGATGGGTCCAAGTCGTCCGTTCTCACAGTTGGCGCCAGGCAGTGGACGAAACATATTCAGCGAAGTCTCGATGGATGGTGGGGAGTGAACAAGGGTAGCGAGGCAGCGAAGAATGCCGCGGCAGAGCGGAAGGTCGTCGAGCTGTTGGACACCACGGTGTGGATGAACGTCCACGGGTTGCCGAATGGGCCAGTGGTGTTTGAGATTCGGCAAGACCAGGGGTATGGTGCTCGGTGGTCTCTTCAAGGCGCCGACGACGTTCATTTCCGCGGGTTCGTCGAGCCTTACATCGAGAACGGCCATGCGGTTGGATGGATGCATTGAGTGGACATGTGAAAAATGTGCAATTATGAATAAAAAGTCGAATTTTGTCCAATGAATTGCATTATTGTCGAAATTTTGCATTTAACGGCCTTTGATTGGACAAATGCAAACAGGACTTGGTAATCCTGCCAAATATTATATTGACCGTAGAACGGAGTTCCTCAATTCGGACAAAGTGTATCGCGAGGAAGATGGGGCTTGAGGCGTTCGACCTCGATGTGTTTGCGTCCAAGTATGCTGGAGTGAACCGCATTCGTCACGTCATGTTCATCATGGACCATGGCTTTAACCCCCAGGTTGTCTTCGAAGACGACAACAAGCGAGGTGTGAGAGCCATCGCACAATGACACGTCGGAACCCTTGATCTGACAGCGTTGTCAACAGACGCAGCGACACAGTTGGCCAAAAATGCGCTTCGCTTCCTCTTGTCAAACTTGGAAGCGACCAAAGCGACGACCGTGAACACGACTCTGTATCGCGAACTCACGACGAAGTTCAAGGAGTTTCTTCCGATGGATTACCACCCCGATGCAACATTCCTCGAAAACGCCGTGCGTGCGAATGCGTCGCGCCATGAACGATTGGAGCAAGAACTCAACTCGTACAAGTGCAGCATGATCAAAGAAAGCATTCGTGTATGGAATCCACTCCATCCCCTTGAGAGACACTTGGTTCACGCGCCTGTAGATCGGACACAACGACCTGGGCGAGTTCTACTACCGAACGGGCGACCTCGCGAATTCGCTACGCAGTTACATCCAAGCGCGCGACTACTGCACGACAGAGAAACATATCGTCGACATGTGCTTCAACGTGATCAAGGTACCGTCGAGTTGGACGCTCCTTCGGTTGATGATCTTGCCTAGGCTTCGATCCATCTCAAGAACTACAGCAACGCATACAACTACCTCGTTAAGCTGGAGCAATCCATCGGCGGCACTTCGATTGGCGAGTCCGATCCCACGTACGACAAATGTCCACCTCGAGTGCAATTGAATTGATGCGCATGGTAGAGTGCAGGCACAGACTGCCGCGACTTTTGGCCTTGTGCACTTTTGTTCGAAGAAGTACCATGCAGCAGCGCTCAAATTTGTAGAGTGCCAAGTCGACATTGGCGACAAGTACAACGAAGTGATCCACGCCGAGGACGTCGCGGTCCTCGGCGGTCTCTGCGCCGTCGCCACATTTTCCCGTGCCGAGCTCAAGGAGCACGTCGTGCAAAATTCGTCGTTCAAGGCGTATTTGGAGCTCGTGCCGCGATTGCGTGAATTTATCACGGCCTTTTACGACGGGAACTACGCGTCCAGCTTGAACATCCTAGCTGACTTGACGGTACACGACATGCTCCTTTCGACTTTGTCAAGATGCGCTGACTTTCTTGGCAGGACGAGCTTGCGTTGGACATGTACGTGGCGCCGCACGTCGTCGACCTCGTGAAGGAAATCCGCCATCGAGCGATTGCCCAGTACTTCCACCCGTACCTGTCGGTGGACTTGAACGTGATGGCGGTGGCATTTAATACGCCCGTCGGGGTGCTCGAAGTCGAGTTGGGGGAGCTCATTGTAGCCAACAAGCTGCAGGCGCGCATCGACAGCCACAATCAGGTTCACGGGTCTCGTGGCTTTTTTCCTGACCAATGCACCAGGTGCTGTACGCATTTCAACCTGACCAACGTGCCGTGACGTTCAAGAAAGCGCTCGAGATGGGACGCCAGTACACGGCCGACACGAAATCACTTATTCTTCGCATGAACCTGGTCAAGCATGGCATTGCCGTGGGGTCGAAATATGGAGCCAAAGACAGTCAGCACCACCAGCACGTGGACGAAGACTAGGATTTCCGCACGTCGGTGCATGCAAAATCCATTCCAGGTCCTGTCGTTTTTACATTTTCTGCTCGCTAACTTGGCATGGGTGGTTTCAATGGCCGATGGCGCTTTACACCTACGCGACGGACGAGGTCCGATCCTCGTACTCGTTGTCGAGCCAAGGGGGGGAGGAGGACTGCTACATGCAGACCTGCGGGGTCCAAGCAACGTTGCTCGTGTAGCTGCTGCAAGTGCCTCGTGGGGCCCTGGATGGCAGCAGCAGAACGACATCGCTTTGCGATCGACTTGAATGGTGCAAGCATGCATCGGATCGCGACTGCTGCCTGTCGCTCGAGTGGCGGGGGCTCGGGGGCGGCAATGAAACCGATGGGAGGAGAGTGAAACGGGTGTAACCGACAAGAAGTTGCCGCGGCGGGCAGCGATGGATATGACGGGGGAGGGCACCGAAGAGCAACGCGGGGCTGCGTCTCTACTAGACGCGGTGCAAAAAGAGCTACAGGTCCATTCGACGGCGATCCGCATCGTCTTGACAAAGCTCGCGGAGCGAGTCGTCGCGCTGGAGAACCGCGTGGACGGGACGAGTGCGGCCATGCACGCGATGGAAACCATGTTGCATTCGATGACGGGTCAGATGCTCCAGCTTCATGGTAGCATGGGCGAATGGCACGAACCTGTCCAGATGATCCAGACCAAATTACAAGCACTCGGCGACACTTGTAACAAGCTCGACTACGCCACGGTCACCCACACCACGCTGCTCGAGCGACAGGCGGACGCGCTGCAGTTCCTCAACACCAAGCTGGAAGATACGACAAAATCGAGTGCCACAACGACAAAGCACGAGATCGAAGTGCTCGTGCAAAAGACGGACTCGTTCCACGGCCACGTACTTCAGAAAATCGAGGAAACCAAGTCAGTGTTTGCCACGAAGCTCGAAGGTGTGTTTGCATCGTGATCCAGTGTTTGATGGCTGATGGGGCGCGCCAGACGTGAGCAAGAAGGTCGACGTGCTCGATCACGATATGCAGGGCATGAAGGAGACGAAACCGGCGCCGCCACCGCTGCCCCCTGTGACGGTTGTCATCCCCGAAGGGACAACAAAGATTCCGGTCGAACTTCATGCCAAACGACTCGCGGCGGGCAAGCCTAAAGAGAAAAGCGGTGCGTACACCGACCTCAAGCAATTTCGCATCCCCGACGAGATGCACGAGCGGCTCGAACACAACCTGGCGGCGCTGTATTCGTCTGATGTCGACGACATGCGACGCCCGGCGATACCCAACGTCGCCAAACTTCCCCGCGACGTACCTGGCGGGCACAACCTCCGCTTTGCAAGCGATGTCGCCATCGATCCACCAACGTCGGCCACGTCGATGTCGTACGTGCGTCTGCGCACGCAGGACGACAGCGTGAGTGCCTCCGCAGACATGCGGAACCAAATTCAATCCAAATTCCACGCACTTTACGCAATGGTCGATGCTGCAAGGATCGATGTCCGTATTGACTGTGGCGTGACTCGACATCGGCATGACGACCGCCACGTAGGCCCGCGGGAAGCAAGACGCTTTGCACGTCATTATGAACCGACACGTGGAAACCATCAACTTGAAACTCAAGCAGCTCAAGGACCAAGTCCACCATTTAATGCCCACGGCGCCGCCGGCTCAACCCGCTGTGGCGCTGCTGCTGACGGGCGCTGACGCAGGTACACTCGACGTCAGTGGGTCACTTTTTGATATGTGCATAGACGGCTCGAGCGTGCCAGCGTTGCGCCTGGCGCTTCTCGAGTTGTCGCGCAACTTGCATGTCGTACGCCAGACCCGGAAACACATGAGCCCCGACATGCGGCGCAACCTCGACAAGATCGTCGACGTCCTCAACGACGCATATCACGTGCTGTCGAGCGATGCGAGCCCATCCCCCGCGGTATGCTGCAGTGTGACCAGTCGAGGAAACCAGCCACGGCCTTCGCTCGTCTCAAGCGGTATGCTTGACCAACGCTATAGGTCGTGAGCAAGCACACCGAACGCGTGGCTCGTGCGTTGGCATTTGGCATTCAGTCGACGGTGGAGCTGCTCTCAACGACGGACGCGGTGTCGTCCATGGAGCTGCGCAACACCGTCATGAGTTTCTCGGCCGCACTTACAGCACGATTGCAGTCGCGGGAAGCAGACGAAGGTGCACGAATACGAGCCGCTACAATCGAGCAGCAATTGGACCAGCTCAAGACTGATACCCATCAAGCATTCGTGGCCATGTCTGCTCGCCTCGACGTACGAGCTCAGCCGCGATCGAAGTCTATGATGTTGACATGGCACAGGAAATCAAGCAGCGCGGGACGGTGGCCGCGCTGGGTGAACGAAGCGGAGGTCCCACCGCCGTGCAATCTCGATTTGATATCAACGAGAGAGGGAAGCTGCTCGCGTCATTCGAACACGACCTCCACATGATGAAGGAGCAGATGCAAGCGAACGAGTCATTGCTTTGCAAACTGTCATCGGACATGGAGCATACGATACGCCTTGTTGCACGGTGCGGAGGAGCATCTCTTGGCCCGAACCTGACGACGACGGTGTTGGCAGGTATCTCCCGAATCCGTCGAGCGAAGTAGACCAGTCGTCCAAGTCGAAAAAGACCGCCCTCCACAAGTCCCGTGCGACTCTACAGTCGCTACACCCCAGTGGTATCTCAACACCGGCCTTCACAAAGCAAGCGTCACTCTCGTCCCTGTGCGTGCAGAACGCCGTGCGGCAACCCATTCGCAAGGCGCCACTGACTCCTCCAACAAAGCAGCAGCCCGAGTCGCTAACGTCGTAATTCCGTCCAAAGAACGTTCTCGTACAGCCCCTTCTTCACCTCCTTCCGACTCCTGGACCGAAACCTTTGTTTTCACAGTTGAGATTCTATGGCAAGGCACATATATTGTTGTATTGAAGCAAATGCGGAAGAAGCAACGGATTGCTCTCATGGCAGGGGCTCCGACGCATCCCCGACGCGTTTGAGATGCAAATATGCATCCGTGCCATATCCCTCCATTGAGATAATTTGGAGGTCGCCTCCGAAATACCGCGCAAACAGCCTTGAGATAGGCAGGCCGTAGCCGAGACCAGCGAGCGGTGACTCGCCCCCAAAGTCCATCGGGGTGTCGCCTTCGAGGGCCACGAACGCTCCTTCGTTTGCTGTTGTGTACATGTAGCTCCAAATGCGAGGCAATGCGCTCCGGGGAATGCCACCGCCTTCGTCTGAGATCTTGATGCTGACGTCTTCGTTGTCATCGCCGTCCGCTACGACAAGTTTGATGGGCGGCAGTGGGTTGTCCACCCCGTGGAATTCGACCACTGCACGCATCGAGTTCTTGAGCACTTCGAAGAGCATGTGATGTAGATGGCTCGGCACGAACGGCATGACAAAGTCCGTGTGGCCGTGGAGTTCAACCTCAGGCGCGTCGCCATAGTGGCGGATACACATGTGCCGTGCTGTGTGCACGGCGGCAAGTGCGACTTCTGCCGGGGATGTCGACTCGCAAATGCACCCCACCCATCCATGCTCTTGTTCGTGGAGGGCAATGTGTTGGCTCATCAGCATTCGAATGCCAATGCGACTGAGGTAGAACCCGTCGAGAAACGAATGCAAGTCGTGCATGTCCGACAGTGAAAGCGACGGCTTCCCCGCCGAACGAGATGCGGCCATGTGTGTCTTGAGTTCGTGCACGCCACGTGCCATCGTGTACAACGTGCCATTGTGCCGCTCCCAAACCGACTCGACGAGCGCAGCAAACGCGCGTTCGTCTTCGCTTGTCCTGACACGCGGGAACGCGACGAGTTCCTCGAACGACTTGACATACCATTTTTTCACAAGTTGCACGGACGGCATTTGACACAGTCCGTACGGCAAGGTGTCAAGATCCTTGACGCGGTGCGAGAACCGAATGGGCAGTTCACGATGGAGAAACTTGGCGCTGTGGATCAACTTGGATGGAGTGATGTCGCTACCAAACTCGAGAAATTGCTGCAGCGTGACTCCCGTCTGTGGTCTTGAAGCGTATTCCATGATACGCGGCAGCATCGTTGGCGACGGCGACGCCTTGGCGCGCAACACTGACATCGCGCACGGGGTAAAAGTATGAAAATGTGGAAACGTAAACTTTGGTGATCGAAGTTCGAAGATACGCTACTTCGGTCGCAGCAAAAATCGGTCAAGGGAATATTCTTTCTGGGGGAAATAGTGTGCGACTCGGTAAATACTGTGCGTAGAGTATCGGACAACAGTGCGCGACGGCAAAATGTCCCCAATTGCTGTGTATAGTGAGTGATATTGTCGCAGCATTCAATTTGCCGGTAGAAATTGGGATATTTTTAGCCAATGGGTGACAAATACCTTCACGACCTAGTACTACTAGTACATGATATCAAGCATTAAATTTCTTGAATTGTCTATCATATCAAAACATCACATCATCCATATAGTTAATGATAGTTAATGAAATGTTGGGTACTTCTATCAATATATATAATTTCAAGACGATTTGACACGGGGGGGACATTTTCCATCGCTCACTGTACTGCGTGGTAGAAATTCCCTTGCTGGATGTCTCATGAATTCGTGAAATAATGTAAGATACATGGGAGCACGTGTGACAATGTTCGGTTTTGTCACGAGGTGGACGCCGTCGCACGCGGGCCCGACAAGGGAAGGCCGACAGCGACAAGCAGGGTGACATTGCCGCGTCAAGGAGAATCCTGAATTGTCGCACCACTGGACATGGCATCCAACGCGAGGCTTCTGACAGCATGTACTGGCCAAAAGGACGAGATACTTTAACGTGCATGATGGAAGGAGGAATTACACAGCCATGCTTTGTGCGTGCTTGAGCATGGCTTCGTTGGACGGAACGTGCTTCAAGATGTCCAGAAGATCGGCGTATCGAATCGTTTCCCCCTTTGTATCGAACTCGAGGCGCACGAATGTGTTGAACTTGTGTCGAGCAAAGAGGAAGCCGAAATCCTTGAGGGTCTCCCGGCACACGTCCAAGTCGATGAACCCGTCGTTCGCATCCGAGTCGGCCGCATCCGCCTTCTCCAACGCAGCTTGTAGGTCGTCCAATGTCTTGTGGTGTTCGTGGAAGAACGTGTGGATCTGCACGCACATGCGCTGCTTCATCTTTTCAACTTGCGCAAAATGCTCGATCACGGAACTCAGCTTCTTGCGGCCGACGCGCCACGTGCCGTTCACAATGGAGAATTGTCGAACGACGTCAGGTGCCAGCACCACTGTGTTAATGAACAGCGGAATGAGGAGCAGGAGGATCGCCACCACTTCGTTCCAATGTGTCACGACGACCACACAGTTGATGAGGAGGGCGTAGAAGAATCCGTTGGCAATCAGCATACTTTGCAAGACAACGTGGCATGCCTTTCGGGAGAAGAACGGTAGTCGAACCGGCTTGTCGTCGTGCATGAGCTTCGCACGCAGCGAATTCTTGTGCAAGTTGGGCTTGCCGTGGCACTTGCGGTAGGCAGACCCGACGAGTTGGCACATCAAGTCGGCTTTCATCCAACTGTGGTCACGAACCTTGCCATGGTACAGCTCGTCTGCGACGTGTCGCATCCGTGCGATGGCCTCGTCCGTGGGAATGTCCGCGTCTTCATGGGATTCCTGTTGTGCAGCGATTAGTTCGTTCTGTGCCTGTATAACCTAACAATACCTTTTCAATCACATCGTTCATCGCTTCAAAGAGGAAATCCATCTTGCGCTGCTTGGCATTGCCGTCGAGGGGCACCATCAACGTCATGGCCGATCCTTCCAAGGCACGGTCCGTGGCATGCTGGAGGAGGACGGTCACCAAGTGCTTTAGGTAGAGAAAGAATCCAAACATCGCGACGGTGAGACAGCACACGAAGACGGCGAACGCTACGAGCCGCACTGAGCTGTCCGACACTCGGTACGGCGCGTGAAGTTGACCCGTGTACACAAAGTAGAGCGCAAACACCCCGAGTAAAAGCACCCACGTGCTCAAATCGACTTCAATGAACTTGGCGATCTGGCTGTCTTGGACCTCTCGGATGTACTTGGCGAACGAAAACAGTTGCGGGAGCTCGTACACGTTGAGGAAGAACTGCCCCAGCAACTTCATTTCCATGCGGTCTTCGTATCGTTTCCATGTGTGAAACTGACGCCACCACGACTTGGATTCTGAGGCTTCGTCTAGACGTTGACGCGCGATCTTGACCAGGTCTGCCGCGGTCATGACGGACAGCTTGTCCATCTCGATGTTGGATTTGCGCAGCCGAATGAAGATGACAATTGCTTGGAACACCAGTGCCATTGTGACAAAGAACACAAACACGTCCGCAGCGTCCAATGCGTAGTACACGGGACCGCCCTTCTCGGCCAGTTTCGTGTACACGCAGAATTTCACCAGCATGTAGATTAACCCCACGATCATGAGCTCTTGAGTCGTTTTGTGCAGCATCTTGGCATACTTCGGGTGCTGGCGACAAACGCGTTGGATATGATGGAGCGCGAGTTCTAGCGTCGCCACGAACAAGACAACGAGGAAGATGAACAAGATCACGCGCTCCGTTTCAAGATCATCTTCCTGGAAGCCACTGCTACCTCCAAGTCGGCGATGACCGTCCGTCGCCGCACTTTCCATTCCTTGCTGTGGATTACAAACTGCCCAAATCCAAAACGCCCATTTACAATTGACCAATCAGCGATGCCGAAGCAGCCTTTCGCTGGGGAACGCATTTTGATTGGTGAAGTTTGCGTGACATCCTCAAAACGCCACTTGATTGGCTGAAAAGAGTTCTACCGAGTTGCCATCATCTTGAGGCGATGTCGAGTGCAGTGACTAATAAACTTGCTTTGAGCAGGCGAAGCTGTCCGTGCTATGTGCTTGTTTGAAGCTTTACGAGTTGTGTGTTTGTCGCAGCGCACCACTCAGAACTTCGATTAGGCTTAAATCATCCCAGCGTTCGTGCTGTACTGACGATGTGGCGGTGATGGTGCTTGATACGGATGCGTTATCCGGATACGAATCGCCGATCTTTTGTTGTGTGGGTTGCGAGGTCTTCGGGATTGACACTGTTCCGCGGGCATCATGGTGTTTGTGACTCTCAAGTATATAATCATTGGCGACTCTGAAGTTGGCAAGAGCTCTCTCCTTCTACAGTTTACAGAGAAAACGTTTGCTGCAGTCCATGATCTCACGATCGGCGTCGAGTTTGGTGCCAAGTTGTTGGACTTGGACAATCGAAAAGTCAAGCTCGAGATATGGGACACCGCTGGCCAAGAAACATTCCTGTCCATCACACGTTCGTATTACCGTGGTGCGGATGGCGTGTTGCTCGTGTACGACATTGGAAAACGATCGAGCTTCGAGCACCTCGGTCGATGGTTGCAAGAATGTCAGCAGAACTGCATGAATCCGAGCTTGGAGATCATGGTCGTGGGCATGAAGGCCGATATCGCAGATGGCCAGCGCCAAGTCCCATACGACGAAGCAGCGTCCTGGTCCGCCAGGCACGGTCTGCACTTCATCGAAGCATCGGCAAAGACTGCTTTGAATGTCGAAACAGTATTTGTTGAGACCGCTACCACTATCTTGCGCCACTTTGACGATGCCAACCAAGCTCGGATGCAAGCCAACCACAAGGTCCAGCTCAACGCGGCAAGCTCCCTCGCTACACCCACCACAAACGAATGTTGCAACCAAGCCTAGTTCAGCTATAAATTTGTACCAAAAAATAACGAAAGCACTTCTCGTGCGCAACAGTCGTCTGTGGCCTTGGACGAACTATCGGCATGTGTTATCTTGGTCCTTCGCAGTCATAGTTCACGGCCACGCAGTCGAAGGCGAGTCATAATGATGCTTATCATGACAGTATTGAAACCTTGCACTGCGTCGTCATCCTCAAATTGAGCCCGTGATCGCAGCTATCTCCCTGATGAATCGACTTCAGAATAAAGATTTAAGAGGTACCACCTGAAAGCCCAGTTGGAATATCGATTTATAGAGGTATGGAGTTGGCCCGCAAGATGATGCGATTCCGTTTGGCACATTGGACACACCGGTCGAGGATGGTGGCTCCCACGGCGCTTATTCCTGTGGTAAGGGAAAAAAAAAGTAGCGAGGAATAGTTGGAGCTACTGTCTTCACAGGCGTTTGTCCCCTTGGGTAGGCAAATGGAAGTGAAGAGATCGAAACTGTGAGCTTGCAAGATGTTCTCGTTCGCGGCGGAGTCCAGGTTAGTTGTCCAACGTTCATAGCTTGTGGCTTTTCCCATGGCGCGGCGAGTAGGTGACCTTGGCTGCTGTGGGTGGCGATGAACACAATGTCGTCAAAATGTCTCGAGGACTGCACATTAAGGCTGACGTGGCAATTGGGGAATGTACGGACCTCGACTTCGATCTGATCGTTCTCCCAGGGGTAGCATCTTCGTCGCTGGCCAATGTCTAACTTCGCTTTTGTTAAGGGTATGCCTGGAGCTGCGCACTTGCGAGACTGCCCCGACCTGATTGACATGCTACGTCACCAAAAAAGGATGGGCAAGTGGTATGGCGCCATCTGTGCGGCACCGGCCGTGGTCCTCCATCACCACGAGGTACTCAATACCAAACGGCACAGTCCTTATCATCGCGTACGACGCACTCAACGGCAACCACATGCGTAGTTGCTCCCCACAGGACCTGTGACATCATATCCCTCGTTTGAAGGCAAGATGCCCGGCGCCGAGTACTCGTCGGACCGGGTGGTTGTGACATCAAACTGCGTCACAAGTCGAGGTAACGAAGTTTGACGGACTTTCACCGTCGGTAATGGTGTCTACAGGACCTGCAACTGCCATGGAAATGGGCGTGACATTGGTGCAATTGCTCTGCGGCAATGAAATTGCTGCCGCCGTCGCGGGTGGCTTGCTCTGGAACGAACCCAAGGACGCTTCTCAATGATTGCGACCGTGCTTTGTATCTCTCCGATGCTCTCAAATATTTCTGGTTGTTTTTGCGACTTACGAGTCCACTAGCATCGTTCGCAATGCGAGCATGCAAGATACATTCAATCCATGTCAAGTTTATGGTGATGGATGCTTCGATGCGTCCTTGGCTCGCTTGTGGACGAACGATCGGATGCAATGTCTGCTTGTGACATCGAATGGCTTGGCCCTGCCTTCCTCCTTCGCGTGGGTGAATTCCACGCAACATGATGACCCGGGTTCTTGCTTTCATCTCCAGTCGCTTCTGGAAACATTTCGAAAACTCCTCCCATGTCTGACCTGAGCTGCCTCCAATGGCGACCACACACCTCCGCCACTCGCGGAGGCGACCTGGTGCATTTCCCGAGCATCGAACCTCCACAGCCAGGCAAAAGCTACCGTTGTGCAATCTCGTCAGTCCATATTTCAAAATTCAAAAAGGTCGCCAAGGAATCGCCATGATGGCGCTTGGTAATTTCAACGCGCCAAACCTGTGCCTTGTCGCGAAATTGCCCGACAACAGAGAAAACTTGGCGCAACTCGGACGACTACTCGTTTGCTTGTGTGACCAGTTCCTACACTAATATACCGCCGCCCCAACGTCCCTTGCATGATGAGGCTAGCCAAGTTCATCGCTCGCTTCCAAACCGAGTACTGTCCACTTCGAGGTTAAACGATCGGTTTACTCGTGCTTGGTGTCCACAAGCAGTGGCACCACACCACACCATGTCGCAAAGAGCGACAAACCAATGCCAGCCACGTGGCCGTACACAGCCCCATACACACAAGGCAGCGGCCATTGCTACGCAATCCTCACAGTATGAACAACATGTACGGCGACAAGGAGTACCAAACCTGCCACGGGCGATCCCAGTCGAGTGGAATGAAAATAGTTCCAATGTATGCTCCCAGTAGAGTGCCAATACACGTCCACGCCATTTGTACGTCGGTTTGATCGCGGTACCTGCATAGAATTCGCTGAAGCTGCAATTGAAACAAGCGGTTGTCCTACCGACCTGGCATTCAGGAGAAGGTCGATCCATGGTGTCACACCGTTGTAAGCCGAGTGAAACTGCATTGTGGCTTGCGGCACAGCAAGGATCGAGACCAACGCAGCAAGCAAGAACGTTTTCCAACACATCCTAGGCACAACGGCACCTGAAACACTTCTGCCGTGTTGTGCAGAACACCTACTGGAACACTGGGGCACCAAAGAATACAATGACGACGTGAAAGAAGGCAGCACCCAAGATTGTTGCGCTGACGCTGAAAGCTAGTGCATGCAGCTTGGTGGTGTGGATCTACAGGACGCAATGAATTGATAATTCAAGCCAACGCCGAGGTGCCTCACCTGAGTTGGGACGGAAATCGACAACACCGTGAAGGTCAAGGTACCAAGCATGAAAACAGCGCGAGCCAACGCATCTGGGTGAGAACTTTCCAGGGACCCTGTCCATCTGGGGTAGTACACCACGCTTCCGAGCGCGACTGCAACTTGCGCCACACCGACCGCTGCCCGATTCATTCTGCAATCAAGAGGTATGACACTATATTCAGTTACATTTGTCGTTCGATGTATTAGTGTGACTCACTATTTGGGAACATCTTTGGTCAAGCAGGTTGCAGCTTTAAATCCGCCTGCTTTGGGTAGCGCAGAAGTTTGAAGGTGTGGGCGGTTAAGAAGCGATATCAAGACCCACTTACCCGGACACGTTCACTTGGAGGCCAGTGTCAGTCATCTTCGCGGCATGGAGTTATAGTGAGGCTGAAATTAGGCTCGATCAAGTGGAAAACTGCCCTTCGAACCATAACTGGCCAAAGTGAATAAATATATGGGTTGTGATGTAGTTTGCTGGCAACATCCGGCTGGGAGTTTGGTAGTTGGATGTGAAAAAGAAGCAGGTTGTTTCGATGTAGCTGCAGGATGCGCAGGAAAAACACTTCGGGTGATGCGGTAGAGGGTGCTGACGTCTTTACTAGCTAAAAAAATAGGCGCTTCAGACGCTGGAGCCATACAAGAGGTAAAGCCGAAGACAATTGTCTGCCAAGTAATTGGGTGTCAGTCCAGCGACTTAAAATTGCTTGAACAACAGTTCGATACCGATCTACAATCGTCCTGTCCTTTTCTTCTTGGATTCGAAGCCTTGAGTGCGCTGAAAAGGCTTGGGCCTTGTAGTTAGTGAATGCCTTCAATGAACGCTTCGGGGTATGCTGGACAGAATGGCATCTTGATAGTCATGTTGGTATTCAGCTTCATCCGAGCAACTGAGCAAAATTCTTGTACGCTGGCGAGAAAAGTAGCACAGTCTTCTGGGGAGTGAAGTAAGTCTGTGATATCGTGGGCAATGGAAATCATGGGATATAGATGTGTCGGCGAGGAGATTTCCAGGTGGGAAAGCTTGATTCGTGGGAAAATCCCACGCATCTGCTAGGATTTCGTGTGCAGGGTACCTCGTAAAGTTTCAACAAACAGCAAATAGTGCTGGCGTGATCGGATCTCCTTGGTGAACACCACTATGCAGCACAAAAGGATCTAATGGAGAAGCGTTGAATAAGATTAAGACTCCAATGTCGCGAACGGAGTCCATAGAGGCGCAGTAGTTTGGCCTAAAGCCAAAGTGCACGAGAGTTTAAAGGAGAATTTGTCGCGAGACGCAGTCAAACCCCTTGGCAAAGTCGCACATGAATTCTCTAGCGGTGGAGAGGTCATATTTCTTACGCGATAGTTGACGATCATGGAATGTTCTGAGGGCATGCTGATAGAAGTACCAGGCGTGAAACCATATTGACCAGATCTCAGTATAGAGCACAAAACCGAATTGGTGCGCTCGGCAAGGATATTTAGGTGCTAATTTAGCAGCTAGGTCACACGCCGATAATTCGAGTGCAGACCAATGAATCTCGCCTTGAGAAGCAACGAATGTGAGACTTCGCGTTTCAGGTAAGGAATCTGCTTCCTTGTAGCATAAAAATCGTGAAAAAATTGAGCGTGGAAAGCACCACATATATCAGGATTGACTTGGAAGTATTCACAGGGCAGGCCCTAGCGCTTTGTTCTTGGTGCCATTCACAGCGGCGAGCAGTTGTAAATTCTTCGGGAAAAAGCGGTGCTACTAGCGAAGTCTTCTGTTCTTGCGTAAGAAGGGCAGTTGCTGTAAGAATTCACTGTAAAGTCAAAGAATGACTGACCTCTTGGGCTTCAGTTACGTAGAAGGGGAGTGGAAAATCTTGACCCAGTGATGTCGGTGTGTTGAATATTGACAGTGAGCGAAGGCATCCAACCTTCCTGGCTCAGCTCGCTGCCTTACCCACATCAAATTTTGACGAAATTTGGTCTGTAGGTTTAAGAGGTCATTTCAAGTTTAATTATATAAATAGATAGCCTCTGAACATTCAAGAACAAGCACATTTTATCCAAAACTCTCCAATTTTAATGTATTCTAAACCTTTTCAAACAATAACCTTCTAAGTTTAATAGTGACAGATGAATTTCGTAGAAAATACCATAAAGCGCTAAATCGTTTAACTAGGTTT